AATGGATAATTCGAATGAAAATCGGCCATCACTAGATGAATGTGAAACGTCATTACAAATATATGGACCGTACATAAATAATGATACAATTTGAAAGGGACCGGGGCTCATCAAAAATTACGTCCACACGGTAACTGAAATAAACACGAGTGTTCACCGGTTGGTTTCTGTGTTGTAATTATTTGACAACCGTTATAACATGTTATAACTCTCCAGTCTGGACAGCGTTTTAAACGCTGGCCAGACTGAGCAGTTATAACATTTTATAACGGTTGTCAAATAATTGTAACACAGAAACCACCATCAAGATAGTGCTATAACATGTTATAACTCTGTAGTCTGAACGTACCCAACGTACTCCGACCAACCATTTCGTTAACCATTCATAAGAAAAATCGATAGCGATCGTCACCATTTCATGAATAATTGTAAAGATGCTAAAAGTCTAATCGTGAATCGTTTATAAAGATCTTTCTCAGAATATTGCTACCAATCGTTACCACACACAAAAAATTATCGTTAATGAAATTGAAAAAAACCATTGGTATAATTAAAAGTTTGCGTTGGTTCTTTTTGGTAGAAAGTCTTTAGCAATCAAAACAAAAGTCAGTTAACTTTCAATTCAAAAGTAACTCGTTTTTTTATTTTTAAAAGTATAAACTTTCAAATCGAATTGTAGAACTGTCAATATAAAAAACCCATGTTTTTTTTAAATAGGCTCACGAAAGGACTTAATTTAAAAGATGGGCATTTTTATCGCAACGATGTATGTTTTCATCTCAAATATGAATTATTTTTAATTTGACTGCTATATGCTTTGAAAAAAAAAAATAACAATAGAAATATTTTATTTAATATATTTTCGCTTATGTATATTTCGATATTTTTGATGATGACTGAAAGGGCACTGCATTGTGGAATCATGGGAAGCATTTTACGCAAATGATACAGTTGGTGATGGTGATGGTGGGAGTAGCCTTCCTTTCCGGCAAGACTGCTCAAAACACATAAATTAGTAAAATCGGAAACAAGATCGAAAGTATTCGAAAATTTCATCAAGCTACCTTCAAATCCCGTAACTGGAATATCCTTCCGATCCTTCCACCCGATAGCGTCAGAAACTGTTGCTGCTGAAGAAACTGCTGCTGCTCATGTTAGCTGCTGGTTTCGTTTTTTTCACATGTCCAATTTGGCGGGAAACGGTGGTCCAGTACTGTCAAAAACTTTGCAATGAAGAGGTTTTTGACAGTTTTTCGACTTTCATTCTAAAAAATACACTTTTAAAATTACAAGCTGAAAGTGAAAGAAACACTTTTAAACCAAAAAAATATGTTTTATTTTGAAAATGTTCATAGTTAAAACTACGAAATTTGGGAAACTTTTAATTTGATCATGCATTATTTTTATAGCAACAATTTTTGTTCTTTGTGTGCAATGTTAAAATATCGATTGTGTTGCCAGATCAAAATATCGATTTCTGTTGTAAAATCCGAAGGGCAATTCACTGCTCTCGAAAATGAATCGAAAATACGTGAATAAAAAAAAATACACAAAAATTCATCATTACTTGTCATAACAATGCAAAAAAAAATAAAATATTCGGATAAAATACAAAAATATTCAACGAATAATAAAAATACACGATAATTCGTTAATTGCACGAAAAATTCGAACATATGTACATTTGGATTGCTGAATTCGAACAAAATGTGTTAATTTATTATTTTGTGTTTTAATTCGAGCTCGAATCACAAAACAATGCATTAATGAGTAGGATGTCTCAAATTGTCGAGCATATTGTTAAGAAAAGTGCCTTAAATCATTCATTAAATAAAAAAACATTAATGAGTAGTTGTGAACCATAAATAAGTAACGAATGCGTAACAGCATTGGTAACACATGCTTATTAATGTGTAATGAGCGAGGTAAGGGGCTGTTCATGAACTACGTAGACAATGGGGGGGGGGGGGTTAGTTGGAAATTATCCACAGCCCATACATTTTTTTTTAATTTTCTATGGAGAATTGTCTACTTAGGGGGGGAGGGCTCAAAAATCAAAAAAAAAAACTGTGTACGTAGTTAATGAACAGCCTCTAATGAGTTTATGAGTTAAGTCTATTTTCTTTATATGGGATGGAATTCTACTCATCAGTGGGTATTTTAAAGTTAGCGTGTGCTGTGCATTTGTCAAACAAAACGTCAACATTGTGAGTTGATCCCGTTTGATTCTCGGTTCGAGTGGTAAACATTGACACTGAAATGACAGAATACACTTATAACTGATTTTCAATACATTAATGCATAAAAATACACTTTTATTTTTCTAATACACAGAAAATTATATATATTCAAAAAGTGCAAAATAATACAAAATAATACATTATTACGCAAAATACACGTTTATTCGATAAAAAAAATACTTCACGGATACGAATTTTGTTCATTTAAAACAAAAATATAAATGTTTATACTCTAAACATATTAATTATTCAAAGTAAATTGAAAGCATGTTTAAAACTAAATTATTTATGTTTGAATTAAATTCAAAAGCATGTTTATTTCAACAATATAGGATTTGGGTAAACGGTTTTTAGCGTGTCATGCCTTTTTATTTCCTTCTTGTTACATTCGGAAAAAGTTGCCCCAGCTTTGCTCAACCTCAACAGAAAACGACCATCCATTCCGAATCCATTCCGGATCCTCCTCCGATACCGAACATGGAAAGAAACCGGTATGAGGACCAGTGGCAGAAACGGCAAAACGACGCTAATAACACAAATTTGTACCGGTTCCACTGAACTGGAACCCCCGGACATCAACCCCGACGGGTCCTCGCATCCCGGACTAGGACCCCAATACTCACAGGTCACCCTTAATCACACCCGAAAAAGAGCAGGAATTAAGATGCCCTGCCCGCAGATCTTTTTTTTATCATTTCTTTGCAAACCGTTTTATTTTGCTTTACCCTGCCCTCAACTACTAAAATAATTCCAAAATATGTATGTTTATTTTAAACATGAGAAGCATGCTTAAAATAAACAAATTTATTTTTGTTCGCATAGCTGTCAAACCAAACAAAAATAAATACGTTTATTTTCAACACGAATATTTTTGAAATAAACGTAATATTATTTTTACTTTAAACATTAATTTCTCATGACTTCAAACATGGAATACGTTTGAAATTAACCTAATTTATGTTTGTGACCAGAACAAACTGAGTTTACGTTTAAATTTACCTCAAATATTTTTGTTAAGACGATAGTTTTTTCTGCATGTATAAAAACATACGCACTTAGTTTTTTCTACCGAGCTCGGCTGGGCAAATCTCGGCAAAAAAAAGTTGTAGGGGAATATACGTATTCTCGGCAACCTAAGCAGCGACCTTCTTTCTATAGCCTTTTTCTCTAAGGAACGCACACATATGCAGTATTGGTTTGTTTACAATATTTTGCTGCCAGCTGCTCTAACAATTTCAGTCGAAAGAATTGTCAAAAACTGTTTTGAAACGAATTTAAAAAGCTCCAATCTTCTCTAGTGAGAGCGAGTATTGTCGGCAACCAGTTTTTCTTCGGCAACCGTTCCATTTGAACTGCATGTAAATCTACTGTTCTATTATTGGCAACTCGAAATCAGCTACAATTTGTAGTGCGTGTGTTGCATTTCAAGAAAACCTTGCTAGATTGCTTTTTCTCAGTGGTAAAAATATAGTCAAATTGAAGCTGAAAGCATAAAGCATCGTTTGCATGCATTCAGCGAAGTGTTTTCGTAAGAAAATCCAGTGAAAATAGTGTTTCAATTTGTGTTGCCGAAAATAGTCTGTCATGCCGAAGCCGTCATTTCCCCTACTTAGATCTCAGCAAACATTCCATTTGTTTGCAGAGATTCAGCTAAGCATTATCCAAGACTCAGCAATCAAATGTCACTTCTGCTGAAATCTCAGTGAAACTTATTTTTGCCGAGATTTGCACAGTCGAGCTCGGTAGAAAAAAACTAAGTGCGTATGTTTTTATACGCCGCGTATGTTACTCCGAGGGTTTCTCAGCGCTAAAATTTATCTTTCACCTGAGTAGATGTTACTCCCTGTCTGAGTGAGATTGAACGGCCGTATTTCTGGCATTCCACACTATACGCCCTAATCACAGACAAACAGACATAACACATTGAATATTTCTCACTGTAAAACATCGTCACTAAAACATTACCGCCATCTGTTGAGTACACTGTGGTGGGCACTACGCAGAACAGATGGCGGTAGTGTGTAAACGTCAAACGCAAGAGAATCGACTATGAGCGCCACAGGTGGCGGTGCTACCAACTACTATACTTTTAAATTGTCCGTTAAATGCATGTTCGATGAACGAATTTTGAGTGTTATGTCTGTTTGTCTGTGCCCTAATGTTTTGCTTAACGACGTGTTTGGGGTATCATCCAAACCTTTTGTTGAATAGTTTTTTTTTATTTGGGTTATCGGCCCCTAATAAAAATAACCATAAAAGAGAGCCAAACCATTTGTGGGATAGTTTACCCATTCGGAATACAGTTCGTTTATGGTATTTGTTAATTAGGGGCGTCCCGAGATGAGTGAAAAAACAGTTTATTTTGGGTACTTTTTCAACACTGTGAACCAAGGTGACTACATATAGGTGTTCTAATGTGTCAAATTCATGATTCAGCCATGTTGGATTTTTGTATGGGACAGCGACCGAGTTTGTTTGCAATTTGCTCTAAAACCGCACTTTTCCCCCCCGTGGCCTCATAGTGATAAAAGCTGTATCACCATTTATACGAGCATTTATATACCCACCATGCTGTGAACCTCGCCGTGAACGAGCGAATGAAAGCTGTACACAAAAGCCCCTCGTTCGGTTGTTTTGAAAGCGTCGCCTCGGCTTATTGGCACGCTTCGACTTCAAAAACACATCGTCGCGTCGAGCAAAGCGAAGCCATGGTGTTGCCAGCGCTGACTGTATGCTTCGCACGATCAAAATTTTGACGTCTCATAAACAGAAATGGAAGAGGACATATTATGCGAATGTTGAATTTGTGTGTAAAATTCTTCTCTTGTTTTGCGATCGGAAGTAGATTTTCAACGACAGTTTTGCAGCCCCAGATACCGGCAATCGGATCGATTATGTGAAACAGACGAGTGCGCGTTGGATAAGTTCCTGGCCACGAACGAAAAAAGGACAGTTTGGAAGAAGCGCCAGGTTTTTTTTCAGTACGGACAAAGTTTGACTTTTACGAGGCAAACGCTCGGGATTTCTTGTGCAAAAATAATTGAAGATTCGTTAGTTGGTTAAGGATGTGGCCAATCAAGCTGGACATGACCCGGGACGAATGTCGCGGTGTCCTGCGACGGCTTGGTAAGTAGCGATGTGGCAGCGAAGATCTCGCACAGTGTTGGAGGCATTTTCTTTTGCCTACGCTTTCTGTTCGCTTACCCTCCAAAATTTACTTTCCTCACAGAATTGGAGTCCTACTCGAGTGTTATGAGTACATTTCGTGCGCAGGGAGGACTGTGCAAGGAAAAAGCGCGGATTCTCGACGAGCTGCGGAAGCTGTTGCATATTTCCCAGGATCGGCACAAGGCCGAATCCCGGCGGGTGGCCAACGACGAGCGGCTGACCACGGTGGCGGAAATGTGAGTATCAAAAAAAAATTAAACTGAGAGGCTCGTTTTACTTCTGTGGGATTAATAAACTTAATCTCAAGGTCGCTGGGCGGTGTTTTGGTTATTTTGTGTTTGTGTCAAGTTGGTAAATATCAATAACAACCAAAATTTCACTGAAAAAGGCCTTTAAAATTTCGCTAATGTAAACAAATAACAACATATGGATAATATCAGCGCATAAATCATAATATTCTTCTACACTGATAGTGGTAAGCTCCAACCTTATCTAGGATGCTTCGCTACATACAAAACGAATACAATAATAATTATTGGTAACTAAAGTTAATGTTTAACTTTTGGCGGTTAATTAAAGTGATATTTAAATGCAGACAAGTAAAAAGAAAATAATGCATTAAAATGGCTTATAATAACTACGTACAACAAAGGGAGCCGTGTTAATTTAAAAAATAGTACGGCAAGCCTGGTTCCGCACTTTTTGCCGAAATGTGATATGATATTTTTTTAATCTATTTTAGGTAGGTATTCCTTATCCAGAACAAACAATCATTGTGAACATTTTCGTATTTTCCAGAAGATTATATATTTTTTGGATTGCTGAGATAATTTCACTACACAACGTTCTATCTACCATGCTATTGCATTTTAAGTGCGTGATGTCCGGGAAAATCCGAAAACCAACAACTCTATCTATCTTAACTCAGTTATCTGAATTTGACTGTATGAGCTGTTTATGTATCATACTAACCGACAATTATGGAACACTTTCAGTTTTCACTTCAACACGCTGGACATATTAGACCTAAAATATAAACATCAAATAATGTACGCAAATTGATAAAAATTGCCACTACACCTACATGGTCAAAACCAACGAGTTAATTGAAAAAGTCCTTAAATTATTAAACAGTTGAAATAATTAAAAATATTTTTTAATAAAAAATTATATATAAAAAAATAAACTAAAAACAGACGCACAATTTATCAGAATCCTCATTTAATCGGGATTGTCAATTATAGATTTAAATAGTCCTAAATGGAGCCTAGAATTATTTTTTTAATCGCTTTATTGGTCGCATTGACGTTTAACTATTAATTTTTTGGCCTAGAACCAGTAAACCCTATAGTCGCTATATTCATAGTCTGGCGGATAGAATCTCGGGGACCAATTCAGCTGTCAAATAGCGGAACCAATCGAGCAAATCACGACCAAAAACAGAAAAGAGCACATAAGCTATTGCGAACAAAACTTCGGAAACACTTTTCTCGTGACTCAAGGCGCGCCTACGCAAACTTAGGTTGAGAAAAGTTTGCCCTATCCGATGATGCCGATAAATTGCGTTCGTTTTGTTTATAAAAGTTGATAGTACCTTTTCAATTTTTGGTCTAAAATATAGTGAATTGGTTCCGCTTTTTGATAGATCGAAATTCTATCCGCCAGACTATGAATATAGTGACTATAGTAAACTCGTACCAGGTGACGTAACCGCACATTTTCGGCCCGTAATTACTCTTTTCGTTTAAAACTTATAATATAGGGGAAATGGCTCTAATGTTGGCCTATGGATCTAAGATTGGGCCTGCTGAGTGTACCCAGCCTTGCTCGGGATTCAATATTAGCTTGAGTTTATGCGCCAATTAAAAAAAAAACCATGCTATATTGTACGTCCCCCTCTTATCTAAGGGGCTACCTCCTATGACCTCCACATGCCAAATTTGGTTTCATTTGCTTGATTAGTTCCCGAGGTATGCAAAAATTTCTGTTTCATTTGTATCATCCCCCCACTATTTGTTTAAATTTAGTCACTAATCTTTTTTACGACCAATGTTGAGTGTAAAGAATTTGCCTTTATACAATCGCTACATAACGCTTACTTGGGTAACTAATTTGCAAATTTGTGTCCGAAAAATTCATTGGAAATCTGCGAAATCTAATAATGTAATATTTTTTTTTCAACTCCTTGATCTAGATTCTTGTAGAGTGGCCAATAAAACGGGAAAATCGGCAGAACCAGGAACCGAACCCAACCTAATTCTGCTTAACTTGTTAACTATATGTACTTTTTTGCTCTATGTACTTTACCTATGTATGCAAACCGATTTGTGATTTTCCTTAGTCGGGATAGAGAATCATAAAAAAGTCCTTACTCTCAAGTAATTCGGAGTCACATATTTTTAGGGGATTTTACCGATCAGACTTATGAGGTTCAACTCGTGCCGTGTGACTTAAAATTTTCTGTTTGAATAGTTTTCCTAGACCGGTCTCTTAATTGTTTTTTTTTCTTTATTTAGGAGATTTTCAGCCGCTGGCTGGTTCATCTCCGGGAGCCCCAGAAGGGGGCTTCCCTAATTACATAGTTGAGAGTTTGGAGAACCCAGAAGGGGTTCTCCTGGAGGTTGGTGGGGCTCCAAAAGGAAGTCCCCTTAGTACAGAGTACTTTTTTTAACAGAGTTCATTATAGTTCCTGTTTTGGTTCTTAGCGTGGTTGGCGGATCATGGTGTGAATGGCGGTGGTCGTTGTCGAAGGCAGTCAGGTAATCGTCATGTGATATCCAGGCTTATTCCAGTGGTCTTCATGTTCGAGGCGTAATCATTTTGTAAATATTGATTATATTTTATAGAACAGTCCAGCATCTTTTGGGAAAACTATTAGGGTAATCCGTGGACGGGTCGTTAGAGAGGGTGTTACGTACAGTACTGGACAAAATAAATCATACACCCATATATTTTTTCTTTGGAGGTCGATATATCAGGTAGATTCAAACATACAATAATGGTTTGTTCTGCAATACTTCTGTATGTTTTTCGTTAAAACTGTGCAGGTATAGAATATTCAATATATTGTATTACTTTCTCAATCATCATTTATAAGTTGTAAAAAAAGAATTTCGAGTTGGACAAAATAAATCATACGCCTGATTTCTTATTGAAAATTCTTGTTTAATTCAACTTTCAACATACATTTTAACACTCTCAGTATATGGTATGACCACCCTTTGCTTTCAACACTGCTTCCTACCGTCTTGGCATACTTTCGACGAGGTTTTGTAGATATCCTGAATCGATATTCTCCCACGCTGCTTCAAGTGCTTCAAAATAAACGTTTTTGTTGGAAACCGATGCTTTATCCACTTTGTTGTCCAAGTAAGACCACAAATTCTCTTGAGATCGGGAGATTGGGGAGCCCATTCCAGCGTTTTGATCCGATTTGATTTGAAAAATGCCATTGTTTTCTTCGCTGTGTGCTGTGGGTCATTATCGTGTTGGAAAATGTAATTGGATTACAGGCCAGTTTTAAGTAGCGAAACCTCCAGATTTTCACTTAAGGGGGTATTCCCAATCTTTTGCCTTTTTTCGGCCTGTTTTTCAATTAATTTTTTTTTCAAGGAAAATGAATAGTAATGCGCCTAACTCTTTGGGATTCTTGTTTATTGAACATTAAAGTTTACAAATAAATTTTTTTCGACATAAAAAAAGACATTATTGACGTCACAAAATGGCGGCAAACAGACCCCTGTTCGCCGCAAACGCCTGGACGGGCGAAGACTTTTCTCTGGAACGGCTTCATCTGAAACAGATTTCGTGATGAAATTATAATCTGCATAAGATTCTCTGGAGCTTCTCCCGTTAGCAGCAAAAAATCTTGCAAATTAACAAAATGGCGGCCATATGAAAAAACAGGCGATTTTTAGCCCGCTTTTTTGCAGCTTTAAGGTGCTTCAAACAATGTTAAATGTTAATATTTTTGGCTGAAAGTGGGAGAAGCTCCAAAGAATTTAATAAGGAACAAAATGCGCAAAGATTCAAGTCAATATCTCTTATAGTTTCTGAGAAAAATCTTCGCCCGATAAAAAAATGTGGTTTCGAGAAAAACGCGTTTAAAGTTTTGACTTTAGTTAAAACCATTTGGGGGTTCTTACCATTAGTCAGCTATGCCTGGACACCGAATTCGCTGATCGGAAAACGGCTTGGGGGGATGAAAGTATATAGTCTAAAGTACAAAAAAACGTGAAAAAAAAAATTTGATTTTTTGAAAAAAAAGATCGGGAATACCCCCTTAACAAGTCAATGTACACATCTGCAGTCATTATTTCCTTTATATGAGCCAAGCTTCCAACACCAGATCACGCAAATGCTCCCCATGCTTTTGAATGTATGGTTCCTTAAGAGCGTCACCGGAACCTCGCCAAACCCTTGATCGCCTTTTCTGTCCAAATAACTCAAATTTGCTCTCATCCGTTCACAGAACTCGTTTCCTGAAGTCCACAGTCATTTCGGCGTATTTTTTTAGCAAATTTCAGTCGCTTCCGTTGGTTCCGCTCGTTGATAAAAGGACGCTTCGATGCCAAACAGCTTTTCAAACCGCTCTCATTAAGCCGCCGGCGAACAGTACGTCAACTTACATTGAGATCCATCGATTCCACAATATGCCTCGACGAATACTTCGGATTCTGCTTAGCCATTCGAACAATTCTGATGTCATCACGATTACTTGTCGCACGATGACGTCCTTGTCCGGATAAATTCCTCACAATTCCTCGTGTTTCGTACTTTTTCCATATGCAGGGTGTCGACTCAAAGTCGAAAATAAAATTCCCTGACTTTCCAGTCGGTTTTCAGAAAAAATCCAGTCCACAAAACTTCGTTATTTTAACCTAAGAAGCTACATCGTGATGTGCTTTATTATACCGTAGTGTAAATTAATGTTAGTTTAAAATGAGCAGCAGGGTAAGATTTCGAAAATATCAAGAATAGCATACTCATGGGACTTACAACAGAACTAATACAATTTTTACAGACCATATGACCGACTACCTACGAAGGATGTGAATAAACCTAGGGCTATAAATACCTATTATTATATAATAATGAATAACGACTGCTCATAACTGGGCTCACTATTCATTACTAAGTAATAATAAGAATATTTAATCAATGTCACCAAGCTCTCAATTTGTGTTCATTATTTCACAGCCAAATAAAAATCAACCCGTAGACGATCCTTTCTCTT